TATATTTTTCTTGTGGCAAATGAAATGATGATTTGTAATAAAATGATGAAATGAAATCATATTCTGCAAGTAAATCTTTTCAGATATTGTCTTTCTTGTTGAGCAACACTGTCATAATGCGCTCACGTTCCACCGCGAACGAAGGGAAGAGAGGGGTCGTGGAGCGCTGAAGTCGTTGTTGTAGGCCATCTTATCGGAGAAGCCGCGGTAGTTAAACAAGTATTAAAGTAATGCGTATGTTTCGAGTGCATTATAAGAATATAAAAGTTTTGATTGCATAATTTCATTTTCTTAATTTAACATAACGACGAAGAACGAATGTAACGACATTACATTTAAGTTACATAAGCGGTTAAGAGATTATACTTGGTACAAATAAACGTTATAAAAGTTAGTAATTTAATAAATGTACAAACTAGTAGCATGTGAATACTAAGCATGACGCAGAGGTTAAGATATATTATTATTAATTTAAGAGTTTTCTTATAATAATGCTTAAATAGCCGTATCTTTTAATCAGATTGAAACAGAATTTTTAAGTTTGTTACTGTTTCAAATACAGACAGACATAAGTTTTTGTGTGTTTTTATAAGAAAAGGATCTCATCGGACTTACAAACAAACTAAGTAGTGGAAAACGAAGTGGTCTTATAAGTGTTTCCTTATTAGTACTTTAAATAGAGTTTTTGTAAAATTTGCATGATTTTCATTCTTTTTTATTAGGTAATTGCAATGTGTTTAATTTCTCTTGAAATTATAGATAGCATTCTAAGTTTCTAATCAATATTCTGGGTAATTTATAAGCTAGAGTATTACATAAAACATGAACAATTCATAACGTAACGCAATAAAGCTGCATGTAAGTGTGAGTATTTTATGGATCTTTGCTTTCTATTATTTTAAAGCTTATAGTTGTATGATTTTAAATCCATACTAATAAATACTAAAATTATAAACGCGAAACTGTGTCTGTCTGTCAGTCTGTTACCTCTTCACTTATAAACAACTGAACTGATTTAGATGAAATTTGGTATAGAGATATTCCGAGTCCCGGGAAAGGACATAGGGCAGTTTTATACCAGAAATCATCTTTTAAGGGGGTGGAAGTTTGAATGGAGAATCAATAATCGCTGAACCGATTTAGATAAAATTTGGTAAGGAGATACTTTGATTTTTGAGGAAAGATATATGCTACTTTTTTACCGCGATAGCCGACATTTACGAGGGCAGAGCCGCTGGTAAAAGCTAGTCTAATTGTATAAGTTATTTTATTGTAACGCTACTGTGTTCCTGTTTATATATTCGTTACTCTATATTTATTGTTTTCAACTAATCTCAAAAGATCTCAACTAATTATAAATTGAGCTCAATCGGTATACGAGTAGAACTTTTACAGTTTAGGAGCGTACACAAACCAACTTAACATTTATATTTTATATATATATATATATAAATTAGCATTATTCACAATTTTTTGCTTTCCTTTCCGTATTTTATAATGCTTTCAGTATCGGGCTTAGTAACCGGATTACAGAGAAGTTAAGGTTTAGAGGGTAAGGTGTTCGTGTGGTGACGGATTAAGATTACAGAGTGTCACCACCTCCATTCCTCCTGTGGGTGTCGTAAGAGCCGACTGAGGGAGCAAACTACCCAGGACAACAGCACTGCGGAGAAAAGGAAAACTTGACACAAACCCTATACTAACCCGTCTAGCCAGTGTGGTATAGTAGGCCGAAACCTCCTTTCTAAGGAGAGGCCTATAACCAGCAGTGGACCACTAAAAGCTGTTGATGTGTTGATGATGATAAGGTTTAGAATTAACCATCTGATGTTTATTATATAAATGTCATGTAAAATAAATGTACATCAGCATTTTTGAGGATGCTTATTTCCTTTCCTTACATTTCTTTAATTACTACAAGTAAATCTACTCTATTTTATCGATATACTTCTTTCGTTTAATCTTAAAGAGATTACAACAAACAGAATATTGGTTTAGTAGTCTTGAACTAAACTTTCCTGTTAATAGCTAACGTGAAATATCGGTATGGGTGTGATCAAAATTGATTTATTGTAAAACTTCAGTACCTTACACGAAGTTCAGAAATGGATTTTACAGCTTTTGGTCTGACTGATAATTTGGGTTAGAAAGTAATTTTATAAATTGCACCTTGAAATGTTTGTGTCTTCGTTCTGATCCTGAAATTCCTTATGAAAGTTTATAACGCTATTTCTTAGAGTGGTCTTGGAAACAAATGCAACAGTGAATAGATTACGGCGTGACTGTTGCATTTGTTTATACAACAATCAGAGAAATTTGACTGCACGAATGGCGTAGTGGTTTAAGCGGTCGCCACGCCGCTTCCTACTACGCCGAGTGTTGTGGTTTCAAACCCCACATGGGACGACACTTTGTGTGATCCACAAATTGTTGTTCCAAGTCTGGGTGTTATTTGTGTCCGTTTCATGTATGTTTGTAAAGTCCCCCGCGACACAGGATATTTTCCTAATGCGGGAGTTGTCTATTTATAAAAAGAAAAAAAAAAAAGAAAAAAAATTAAGTGGCATCTAGTTTGCCAAGCAGTCCGCGAATGCAACAGAATATACATATTCAGGTAGGACCTCAATTCACCTTATAAACCGGTAAATATTTTTAAGAATAATTGAACAACAGATTAAAAACCCAAAAAGTATTTTTTGGTTTTCACAAACACACAATATGTTACTCTTACAAAAATTGAATTTTTATTTCATTTTATTTTTTATGGATTAAAGTCATTTTGTTTCATTATTAATTTTAAATTTCAATACAATGCTTAAACATAGAGATGGCAACTTTTTCGTGTGTCGGTTTCGTTTCTAGGTCAGGTAATAATTATATTTCAAAAACATCCTATGTACCTTTTGACAGGGTTACAAACTTATTATAGCTACTGATATTGTTTTGGTTTTACCTGCAATATACATATTTACATGTAGGATTTAAATTTATAATCGATGAGATAGCGTGAGAATATATGGAAATATGGCAATCTGAATTATATTGAAACGTACAATTTTTTACAATTTAAAATAACGTCTATTCATAAGTGTCAATATATGTATATCTGCCTGTATCGCCAATCAAGCCCACCATTTTACCTTTACAAAGTTCTATAAAATGTTGGTGAAATACATATGTTAATAGTCAGTAATAATTGTTTACGACTTTTATAAAATTCAACGATCTTTTGAAGTTTTATATATTTAACATTAAGAAACTTTAGTTCAACCGTAGACCGTCGACCTTTCTAGATACTATAGTACATACAGGTTGAACTCAGGTTTCTTAATTTTCGTTAACATTAATATAAACATAAAATACAAGGAACCGCTTTCTTTGAAGAAATTTAACACTCTCTAGATTGTCAGTTGGCTATTACGTAGTATTTGCAAATGTTCGACTAAGGTTAAGTGTAGTTACCAGTTAGGGCTTCGTACAATGAACACATAATATTTACATGAAGTCACAGCTTCTTTAAGGTTTATTTAATAATTAATTGTAACGTTGCTTGGAATACAACGAACTGTAACACATTTACAAGAAAGTTATTAATATGACATTTTACCAATGCATCTAAAACGTATTAATTTATTGTGGTACTTTTCATTGGCTATAAAATTGCACTGCCATTAACATAACACATTTTCGTTTAAGTCTAATAACCACTAGAGAAAACGGACGACCACGACCCCTAATACAATTATTAAATGTACTTAAGAGTATTTTAAACAGTAAAAATAGAGGTTTACGATACATTCGACATTCAACATATTGGGCAATACAAGTTTTATTGTACCCATAATAATGTATTATCATTCTAAAATATTGACAAAAAATCAAGATGGATAAAGTTTTTAGGACGAATTTACAAATAGTATATTAAATCCCTTATAAGTTGCTTATAAAATTTATTTTACTATATGCTGTAAAGAAATAGTCATAAAATCATGTTAAATACTATTATACTAGATAAGAGCGATAATTTAAGATGAGGTTGTTGCACAAGATTGCACAAGACGTCATTATAGGGATTATTCGGATGATTATAAAACAAAAGATTATAACAAAAGATAATAGACATTATTCAGATAATTGCAAAAAACATTGATATAATCTAGTGCCATAAAAGCACTTAAGTATAATTAAAAAAAGTAAATTAAGTACTAAGGTGTAAAAATAGAAAACTTGATTAAACAAATTGGACAGTCCGGTGGTCGTCTAATTGATATTAAGAGTACCGCACACCGTTGGCCGATAAAATGAGCCAGATTAAATCAATTAATTTCTATCGACAGTATTATGTCCTTTTGGTAGTAAATGGCTCTGGAACATACTATGTAATTAAATTAGAAACATATTATGGATTTATTTATTTTATTCATTTTATTTTAACGGGCCCGTTGTTCTAGTCTTTAGTGATCCTGATTGTCAAAACCAGAGGTTTGATTGCCACCTAAATAATAATGTAATAAGTACGATCATTTGTTCTGTGTCTGGGTATAATTTATCTATAATATGTACGTATTTAGAAATATTTAAGTATATTATCATAGTACAAGGTCTGTCTAGTTTGAGATCAGATACATTAGGTGTGTCAGTGTCAGTGCACAGACGTATTAAACACCAACATTTTGCAAATCATAATTTGTTAATAATTTGTTGGTATAGTATACATATTATTGGGCCCTTAGGATAGTATATCATTCTTCTAAGAAAATAAAACGAGTAACATTTTAATATTATATTTTATTAAGAAGATACCCCAAACTCAATCTCAATAACAGTTATGTTATGATTACCAGAATACGTTATAACTTATGACGTCTTTCGGTATCTATACACATATTATTGTCTTAGGTCCTCCGAGTAGATAAAGAACCACAAATATTATATCAAATCACTACGGCGAATTGTGTTATCAACCTCAAGTGACTTGTTAATATAATTATGTTAAAAAATTAATACTTTGAACAGTGCTCCGACGAGGACGGTTTGCGACCAAATACAAAAAGTAGTTTATAGTACAGTGTAATACCGTTTAGAAAGTTTTTAGTATTCAGTTTATGTCTATTTTCAAGTTCTTTCAGCACTTCAATGTAGTCGTCCATGAAGTCATTGTTTTTGTCCTTTGGAATCTTGAATGGATTGAGGGCTGCAAAGTGCTCTGAAATTTTAATTGACATTTTAGATATAGGCTCTAACTAAGTAAGATAATAATTAATCATGCCATTTTGTTGTAATATTTTATTTATTTTTAATATTAATTAATTTCATTGTCCCATCATTACTTTTAAATGTCCATTATTGTCTAAACTGTTCGTCACAGTTCTCATGATCATAGGTACCAATAAAAACATTATGATTTATCAAATATGAATATAAATAAATGGTATTGTGCCAACATACGAGGCCGGGTCAATAAGTCCGTGACTTTTTGAATTTCTGACCTCTTTACTGAAAAAACAACACTACTCCTGTCAACAGGCATCTGTCAGTTGACTCCTGTCAAAATTTGAACTTGCTGCGTCAGTTAGTTTGTGTTTGACAGCTATCTTTATCAGACTACCCAGTAATTTGGGGAAAAAATGGAAAAAAGTGAATTTCGTGTGCTTATTAAGCATTATTTTTTGCGAAAAAAAACCATTACCGAGACCAAGGCTAAGCTTGATAAATACTATGGGGACTCTGCACCATCGATTTCAATGGTAAAAAAGTGGTTTACTGAATTTCGTTGTGGCCGTACAAGCACTGAAGATGCCGAACGTCCTGGACGCCCAGTTGAGGTCTCTTCACCCGAAACAATCGAAAAAATTCACGATATGGTGTTGGCCGACCGAAGATTGAAAGTGCAAGAGATTATGGAAGCCGTAGGGATCTCGCATGGCTCAGTGGTTTCAATTTTGAATGATCACTTGGGCATGAGAAAGCTTTCCGCAAGATGGGTGCCACGATTGCTCACAGTCGACCACAAACACAATAGTGTAACAACTTCACAGGAAGGTTTGGCGTTGTTTAATCGCAATATGGAGGAGTTTTTGAGCCGTTTTGTAACCGTGGACGAAACATGGATCCATCACAACACATTAGAAACCAAACAACAGTCAAAACAGTGGGTTTCTAAGGGTGAATCGGCGCCAAAGAAGGCCAAGGTAGGTTTGTCAGCCAATAAAGTTAATGCGACTGTCTTTTGGGATGCACGCGGGATAATCCACATTGACTACCTTCAAAAGGGAAGAACAATCAATGGGGAATATTATGCCAACTTATTGGACCGATTCAATGACGATTGGAAAAAAAACCGACCTCATTTGGCCAAGAAAAAAGTTCTTTTCCACCAAGACAATGCCAGGGTGCACACATGTGCAGTTGCCATGGCAAAAATCCATGAATTGGACTATGAATTGCTCCCTCATCCGCCCTATTCTCCAAATTTGGCTCCGAGTGACTACTTCTTGTTCCCAAACCTGAAGAAATGGCTTGGTGGAAAAATATTTGACTCCAATGATGAAGTCATCTCGCAAACAAAGGCCTATTTTGGCCTAAAAGGTCTATCAAAATATCTGTGTTTTATTCCAAAAGTCACGGACTTATTGACCCGCCCTCGTAATTTTGAATGACGATTTGAAATGTCTATCACTGGTTGGCTGCTTTTCACAGTTCTCACGACCTACTGTGTACCACGACATAATGTTTTATTGCTACGTAATGTAATAAAAACGTTATTATACAATGCACATTTCCATTTACCTGAAGTAAGTAATACTGACCCGTCATAATGAAAACCAATATAATATAATAAAACTAATAGATTTATAATATAACTAATATATTTTAAATTAAGAATAAAAAAAAAATAAAAAAATCAATAGGTAAGCACATACAAACAATAGTATTTTATTAATATTAAAGGTTTGCATAAGAGGTGTATTAAATTTAATCTTTATTAAGTTATTTTATACTTTTTAGTTTTTGAAGTCGGTTTTTTTAACCGTAGTTTTTTTTTATTTTTTACTTTTTAGTGTCTGAAATAGGTTGTTCTGTTAAGTACAGTAGGATTTTTCTAGATTACATCAGGTAAACTGTAACATTTCGTTGTTTTTTATTGTCATATATCTAATAGTATTTTTTTTAGCAGCGCGCCTTAAACAATATAGATCCCAAGAAACGGGCACGGAAAAAAGGAATCGACTCCGAAAAAATGCTGTTCGAAACTCTATTTCACGTTCTTGTGAGACAGAGATAGATCGTGAAGAACGTTTATTAGCTATGAAAAATTATATAAAATTACATTCACGTCAAGAAACTCTTGTACAGTCTAGACTGGTTAAGATTCAAGAACATCTTGCCAAAGAGACGTCTGAAATGGTAAACGGCCTCCGCATAATGTCATTCCTGTAGATGTTAACAACTGTGGTGGATTGTTAAATAGCGTTACAATAGGGATAGGTTCTAGGGTGATGCTGAGAAGACGTATGGCGGTCTCTGATGGATTAGTCAACGGAGCAATGGGTGTAATAAAAAAAAAACAAGTGGCCAGCCCTTCGCCGTGACCAACTAGAAGCAGGAGAACTGCCCGAAGCAGTATTGAATAAATTTGATGACGAGACGGTAGGCACTAGGGTAAAAGATGCGGAGGGCCTAGTTTCAATCGCATCAACATCTGCAACTTTTCAGGCCAATAAAGGTTACGGTGATGTCGAGAGATTAATGCTGCCACTAATTTTAAGTTGGGCTGTCACCGTTCACAAGCTCCAAGGTACGACATTGGAGAGGGCGGTGATAAACCTCGGAAAAAAAAAATTTGCAAAAGGTCAGATGTATGTGGCTTTAAGTCGAGTGAAGAATTTAGATGGCGTGGCATTAAGTGATTTAGAACCATCTAAATTATTACACAAACCACACGATGACAAAGCACTACAGGAAATGCAACGATTAAGACAGTTAAATCTAGATTAATTTTTTTACTTATTTTTAAAATTTCCTTTTTATTTAATTCTTCGTTCCGAGATTTTATATGCAATCGTATTGGTTATAATATTTCTCAATTTCTCCACTCCGCAAGCTCGCTCCGCTTCAATGACAGGTAGCCTAAGACCGACTTATCGGGACACGGGTTAATAGTAATATACAATCAACTTATATGAAAACTCCTAAAAAGGCCGTACACAAACTAAAATTATATCATCCAAGTAAACAATAATATTCATTAAAAATGTTCATAAAATAAAAACTACTGGGCCTAACTATGTTAAATTTTTATGGAACCAAATGGCAACTATTCCGCATCAAACTAAAGAAGAATCACGTAAATCGGATCATAAATCTCAGAGTAATCGGTGTACATACATTAAAAAAAAATACCAATCGAATTGAGAACCTCCTCCTTTTTGAAGTCGGTTAATAAAAAAGGAGTTTAAAGTTTTCTTTAGGTAAATATTATATTTTTCAAATACGTTATATTTTAAAGACATAATTATTTAGCGTTTAATAAATACTATACTAAAAATACTATAATCAGTGAGTTGACAGTAGGTATGTTTAAAAATTGAAAATACCTATTCAAAGAAATAAACATATTGATAGGAATCCAAAAGAAAAGATAAATATTTATTTATTTTATTTTCCCTTAGGGATTTTTATCTACGAATCACAATGAGCCGTAACTGTACAATTTTGACAACAATTTTGCCACAATTTTTAATCACACGACTGACGACCGGATGGCGTAGTGGTTTGTGTAACGGACTGCTATTCCAAAGGTCGCGGGTTCGATTCCCGCTCTAGTCAAACATTTGTGTACATGAACATTTAATGTTTGATTTGATCTGGGTGTTTCTATGTATAATATGTATGTATTTACAAATAAAAAAAAAAATATGTGAAAGTGAAAGTGAAGTGAAAGAGGAGTGAAAGAATTCTACCTGGGAGACGTCAATGTCAATTAACTTCTACAAAGTCGACAAGGTCACATTTTTTTTTATAATAAAAAAAAAAACCACACATATTTATTTAATTATATGTACCTAATAACACAGACGCACATAGTATATTCCCTCTAGTATGTTATATATTCACCTTAGTCCGACAAATAGATACTATGTGTAATTATCACTTTTTATAGCTATGTATATACTACTTTGATTTCATCTTCTTTTCTATTTCCTAATACACCAGCCACTACCCAATACCTCTTCATGTTTTCTCATTATGTATTTATGTATATTAGTTGTCTAGTACTCATAGTACGAGTACAAGCTCTGCTTAGTTTGGGATTAGATGACTTTGATTTAATCTTAAATTATTGAATTAAATATTACTTTCCGGATATCAATATTAAACACATGAATAAATATTTGTCTGATTGTCTGTCGCAGAACAAACAAAAATTCAAGATTATATACGTGTACTTGGTGTAAGGGCAGTAAACAACAGCTTTATATATATTGACTATTTCTTATGAGATGTGTGTAGCCTTAATTCCATTTCCTAGTAAAAATAGGTAAGCTTTTGAAAAATTAAAATTTTGTTTATATAAATTATTATATAATTACTACAATAAACGGAATACAATGGCAAATATTTATATTAACTTATAAATTACTGGATTTATGATTGTCTCCACAATATATTATTTAATTCTTTCACCCCCCTATGCCAATGACCATTTACTCCAAAATCTTTCACCCTTAGATCACAGGCAAAAAAATAAATTCCTTACTTCTCGCAATATCAATATCAGGATACGAAAAGTTCGAGTCTTTACACTGCACGTTAATATCAGTGTATCCAATACTTTCCATCAGCGTTGTTATTTCTCTCTCAGGTTTCTGAAAAATGTGTTAGTAAAATATTACAGGATACGACTGAATAATAATGAGTTTTGTCTAAATACAAGTTACACGGTAGCAAAGCTCTCACACAGGGACCTACTGCTCTCACTCATTCAACAACTCAGCCCACATTTGTACTAGCCGAGCCTTTTGCCCGATTGGTACGAAACGGCTGAGCTTCAATTTTTTACGTGGAGCGACTGCCATCAGACTTCCACACACACATGACCTCCCCCAACACTTTTAGTCGATATCGAAGTTCCGTAGAAAGACTGTTATCGGACTTTTAAGGGCGTCAACTACCCGTAACGGTTGAAATAGATGTACTTATGGTATAAATAAAATACCTTATTCCTTCAAACAAGTATAGTTTTTTAAAGTTAACGTGATCATGAAAGATAATACTTCATTTTACCTAATCTGCTCATATTTGTTGATATTTTTTCAGTAAAGAAAAATTTTATAAGGATATCTTCTGCAAAAGTAGTAATTCTCAAGAAAATTGATTGAATTAAGCGAGTTAGTTACACTTTAGAAATAAAAAAAAATCGTGAAGAAGGTAAAATAGTCACTTAATACCTCAGAGTCATGATAAGGTGAAATGTAATTCTGTACATCGTAAACCCAAGTACACCATTTGCTAGTACGTGAAAGAATACGGTAGACATCAAAAACTGGATTGTTACACAGAATCATCATAAAGCACTTGCCGTCTTGGTCCAGCAGATTGTAAATATTCTCGAAAGCTCGTCTGAAAGGTATCAAGAATATTTATGACTTTAATTTTCTAGAAAATCTCAAACTGAATTTTAAAATAAATATAAACACTTAAAAAAATAAAATTAATAACTTATATTATGATTACGCAAATATGTTGATTAATTTGTTACGTTGTGACGTCGTTAAATTTGTTAAATATGATGCGCTTGCCATGTTCTCGACCAGAAATGATTCGCTTGCAAACAATCCTCCTTTTATTCATTAAAAAAAAATACTATAATATTAGTTAAAATAAATAATCACCTTTGATCTAAAACCCAGTGAAGTGCGTAGAATGAGAACACCTGGTCAAATTTGCCCTTCATTGAATCTGGAAGACAGCCTGCAATATCTAGCACGGCGAAAGAAGTTCGCTCATTGGAATAATTGTCGTTTGCAAACTTCACCATATTAGTGCTTATATCACACCCAACTAACTTGAAGTCAGTGGGAACATAATTCGTTAAAATGCTCGTGTTGCCGCCATCGCCGCATCCTACATCCATGATCCTGTTGTTCTTTTTCCATTTAATATTCACTGCATATTGATCCAAAAATGCGATTACATCACGTTTTTGCATAATGTTAGTTTCTTGATAAAGTTCAGCGTTATACATAATGTTAGAGTACAGTGAGTAGTGTTGGTGTAGTGACACGCGGGGTTGCTTTCCTCAACGTAACTTTAGCAACTGTTCAATTTATATTGCGCTTTGGCGGACCTTTGCGGGTACCATGAGTTTAATAGGCAGGTGTGTCTCTAAAGTACCTAAAATCATATCATTTGTTAGACATCACTATCATCACATCACTAGCAACAGCCTTTAATAGTCCACTACTAGAAGTAGGCTCTTTTTAGAAAGGGGGTTTTAGGCTACTATACCACGCTGGCCAGACGGGTTGGCAAAGGGTTTGTGTTAAGTTTTTCTTCAGTTTGCAGTGCTGTTGTCCTACGTAGTTTGCTCCCTTAGTCGCCTCTTACGACACCCACGGGGGGGTGACACTCCGTATTCTTAATCCGTCACCACCTATCCATGATCCTGATGATCCTGATGATGACAACATCACTATTTTAAATCAAACACAAACAAAAACACATGCGTCGAAGTTATAATTTTAGACTGGTAAATGAAAAAATAGTGAGCGATATGAAGCAAGTAAAGTATTTGTTCGAAAGGATTTATTTGATTAACGTTTTATATGATAGGGAGTTATTAGGTATCGCGAGAAAGTATAGTGCAAAAAAATTTGTCCGAATAATTTTTGAAGGCAACTGAGGCAACCAAAATCGTTTTCTAGGCCACCAAGACACTTGTAATTCGTAACATGAGTAGGTTCGTCTAAAAATTAACTGACCATTACTTAGCATCTTACAGGACCACTGCACTTGCTAGGACTTCAGACAAACACAAAGATATAAAATAGATTTATAACATGTTATGAAAGTTCCATCGTGGACATCTCGTTCGCGAGTCCTGCTCTAGTAGGTAATCTTTGAGTGAGGCGAAGACTCTGTCTGATCACCGATAAACTCGGTTCTACGTCTCCTTTTGACCTCCAATACACCGGTCTGGCTCGTTCCACCTAGTCTGCGTTGCTTTTGTTGATCGCCAAGCAAGTAAAATAGTAAAACTTTATCATCTTAATTTTTTAATTTTAGCGTTGTCGCATTGGTAAATATTAATTGATTCATATTACAAATCGTAAATTAGTAAATGAATTACTAAAGCAGAGATCGTCTTTGGTATAATTAATTAACATAATTCTGGTTGATTTTACGCTTTTCGTATAATTAAACTAAACTGTAATAAGCTGAACAAATAAACTCAAAATGATTTCTAACTCATCATAAAATAAAACATTTATGACTATTTATAGCAAATTTATTTTCTTTAACATTTTATTTGTCTTATTTATCCCGTTGAATGTAATTCAATCACTAATTATTGTTTTTATTTGTACTTTTTAGCTATATTTGTGGAACACAGCACATGATTCAGTATAAAAACTGACTAAACGAATAGACACTATAAGTATAATAATAATAATATACCTCACACATCTCACACTATGTTAAAACGAATAACGACATTTCGATTGTTAATTCATTTGTTATCTGAACCGATTATTTTCTCTATGGATTTGTAGTACTTTTTAAAATAACTGCGTTCAAAGTTTGAGCTATATCAATATTTTTCAAGCTCTAGTTTATGTTTTATAATGCGTAAGTTTCTGTTTTTCTTCACTTTTATGAAATGTGATTATGGCTTTTTATTTATATATGACTTCAATAACGTAATTGCAATCAATATTTTTTTACGAATTTACCTCCTAGTGCGTCTGGATCAATTCATTTATGTCCGATTTTTACTTTATCAAAACTTTGTTAATAGCGTGAAAATATTATGAGCAAAAATATTACACACCGCCGTTATTTTTTCTTTATCTTAAAGATATTATTATTTGAAATATAATAAAAATATTAATTAATTAATTAGAATAGAAATAATAGATAATATACACACACACAGTTTTTTATTTTATTTTTACTACGTACCAAATTATTGACTAACTAGTTTAATCTGTAATTAACATTCATTAGTATGAATTTTAGCTCGAAAATGTAGTATTTACATTATATTCTTTAGTATTATTTTGAGATTATTTCAACGTTTGGTATTCTTAATTATTATCTTACTACAACTCATTTGAATATTTAGGGACTGGGATTCTGGGATCCTGTCACGTTTTAACAATTAATTTTAAGAAGTGTGCTAGGTTCTTAAAAGATCAATCTCTGTTTCGGTGCATTAAATTCCTTTCATTTCAAAAGGTACAGAATTATATTAAAATTAAATTTAAAATTATTTTAATGAAAATATTGTTTAAATTAATTAAATTTTAACAATGTAATTTTTCAAGTATTTTCTTTTTTTATGATTCCGAAAAAAGAACTTTTTTTTTTATTTATATATATTAACATATCAAGGGTGGAATTCGATTCCGACCGTCTCTCGAATTTCTATATGACCATGATGCTTACCTGATCTGCTCCGCCTGTGAATTCAATTCAAGTTAACTGCATGGACGGCGATAGATCGTTCAGCTACGATTAACAAGTGACAACATTATTTAACAATGACAGTCTCACTATACAGGTAACATACAGATACATGTAGATCGATATCACAGTAACGCCTAACTTGGACGTTATACAAGATAAGGTGTGGATTGCTAGACCCACCTTTTTTATGGAAAATTGCAGTCGTTCGATACTTTAAATAGAATATCTAAAAAAAAAACCTATATTATGAACATGTATCTCTAGCCATGAACATCGCATTAGACACTTATACTCTAACAGAGCTGGAGAATTAATTACTCTTAAATTTTAAATAAATTCTTGCTAACGTCACTGTACTCCACTAAGTTGTAAAACCAACTGTGTTTTATCCAAAGCTACTCATGTCTTTCAACGATTTACACTTAACAATACGCTAACAGTGTGCGTTAGCATCGCACGTGTTTTCTTTCAATGGACATATTGCTATTGCTCGTATAGTCTTGGCTCAAAGTTCTATCAGTCACATTACTGCCGTTTGTCTATGACAACAACAAATTAGCTAGACTGTTGCATCCATAATGTATAAATTTTGTTAAGATAAAACGATTAACATATGCTGTTATAAAGTAAATCAACTGTAAATCTGTGAGTAATAAATAATTATTTCATTGTTACCTTTAATGTAATAATATTATATGATTTTCTGTGTATTGTTAATGATGGTTATGAAAATAACATTACAGTTTTTTGAGAGCTATTTCACATATTGATGCCAAATATTAAGTTTACTTGGTGCTACTAATGAATAATATAATATAATAGCTTGCACTACGGGTGGCTAACTTAGGCCCGTATTTGTATTTTCCGGTATTGTCTGACTGCTTCGATGGCGCAGTGGTAGTTTATTCGAGTCCTGTGCTGAGGGCTTAGGTTCGATTCCCGTGTCGGACCAAATGTTTGTACGATCTGCAAATAATTATTTCAGAGTTTGGGTATTTTATATATACCTATACATAGTAATAATAATATGTAAGTATTTGCAAAAAAAAGTATATAAGTATTCTATTACTCATTCTAGCTTTCATAGTACAAGCTCTGCTTAGTTTGAAAGTAGATGGCGTTGTGTGTCAGATGTCCGAAAAGTTATTAGGCTAATGAAAAAAAATCTTTCACAGACATAATTTCTGTGAATTTGTATATAGTACACTATTGGCGAGTGTGGCAATTTAAACATATTTACGAGCTTGTTGTTCGTCCAAAATTAAATATAAGAAACATTAAATAAAAATGAATAGGTATAAACTATAACGGAACATGTTGAATTCTCAAATAATGTTTTTTTTTATATTAAAATTTTAAACTATTGTTGTAATTTCAAAATATTGTTGTTACTTCTGTTATAGAATATTATACTTTCAACATAAAACAAAAGGTTGTGGTGATGTTAATTTAAACAAGTATTGTGTGCACAATGTGAATATCGATTAAGATAAATTAAACTAAATTCAATTTGTATGACAAGTAATTCTTTGTTAAATAAAGTATCTAAGTTCTCTATTCGTAATTATTCAGATTCAGAAAAATGACCAAAAGAATTATTGTATAATACCCTCAAGAAGGAAAAAGAAAAAAAAGGACGTCAAAATATAAGATGGGAGGACGATATAAAAGTATAGCCGGGATAACATGACAAAGAAAAACCACAAATAGGAAAATATGGAAAAACTTTGGTGAGACCTATACCAAAGGACAAACTGACCGGCTCAAGCCGGGGCAGCCTAGACATCCACGCCCAGATGCATGGTGTTCTGAGCGTGGACGTCAAGCAGAGAATTATCCAAGGGCGCTACCGTTAGATAATTCTCTGCTTGACGTCCACGACAACTTGAATTCTCAGCTGGTACCACCTGGGGTAGACTGTTCTTCAACGACGCTATCATAAGGGGGAGGGGGGTTGGGCTCCGGAAACCTGAATAGGATGAATAGGGGTGGTGACGCTCGTGTTCTTATTCCGTCACCAAACGAACAGAATAATTTAAGCGACTTTTAGAATGTTTGTTGATTTTACCTGTGAGCCGTGAGTGACAATAATATTGATAATTGTTATTGTTTTTAACAGAGTTCATAAAAAGGAGAAAACACGTACTGAAATGGATGTATATGTCTTTTTTCAAAATTTATTTTCCTCGAAATGATGAAAAGGTAAACTGAAAAGATTACTTCAGTGTTAGTCAGGCACGTATTTATTCGTTTTTTATTACTTATTAAGTTAGTAACTACACTAAGTTGCTTTATAACTACGTAAATGAATGCGACAAATCATGTGAGGATGCGCCGGCTGCCACACTACGTTATCTGTCATCGGGCGATAACAAAGACGACGTATCTGTCGGTTCAAATAAGCATTTATATTTATATATCATGATTGTTTGAAATGATAGCAAAAATCTAATAATATATATATAATAATAAATGAAATTGCACTCACTTGACTGCATTTAATCGCCATTAAATACTATT